ACTCCTCCTCCCTCTCGGAGTTAGTTGACATGTCACTGACAGACTGGGCCTCAGAAACGAAACTCTCACATTAACACTTTAATTGCGACCTTCCGCTATTTTACCCACATAAACTTAAAGCTGCTAAAAGATCTTTTAAGGTATGAAACATCATGAACGTTGTTTACAGGGTAAATCTTAGCCCTTTAGTACCAAACCCGCATTTATTAGCTAAAACGGTCATCAGCAATGTAGGCTACAGATTCATTAAACGTGTTATTATAAAGGATAAAACCTATCCTGGACAGGGTTGAGTTCTGTAACACATTAACCATTGTTTTGATTCGTTTTGAGAGTGAGAGTAACTTCAGACAGGTTTAGTGTGATAGCTAATGTAATATGACCAAGCCTGTTAGCTTTAATACTTAAGCTAAACTAATGTCTCTGAACACTATTATCCGGCAGCTTTACGTAAAGAAAACGTAATAACAGTCGCATGTCATCTAACTCAGAACTGCGAATTCAATATTGTGGATAAGACATGACTACATACTTTATTTTGTTCTCTGACGCGCTAAGGCTCGAGGCTAACAGTCATTAGCTTGCAGTGAAGCCGCGTATACATACAACCCATAAACACTGGCAAAAAACAGCTGAAAAACACACGGCGCGTTTCAGGGGGTTACCTTGTTTGTTTGCCTGTGCCACGTGAATAAATGCAATAAATAAAAGGCGCAGAAGTCCAACACATGATGATTTTGTTCGTGTTGGATGTGGGGAACTCTGTGTTGTGTCCTTGCTCGCCATCCTGCTGCTGTTTCTCTCTAGCCGTGCGCGCGTCGTGTGCGCGCTCATATAAACAGGGCTCACGAGTTCACTCGAGACAGACACCCAGCGGATATGAGGTGAGCTACACCACATTGTCACTATGTTAGTGGTGCACTCATGAAAATGAGCATGACGTTTGAGAAGAAAGATTAAAAAGATGTACACTTACATAAATAAAGATTTCTTTTAGAAAAGCTATATTCTATATGTAACGAGTAATCTCTATGGTGGGCGCAGCCATGTTTACATCACATGACCAGCTGTCATGCATTTGACAGTTAATAATAATTTAATTTCAATAATATAATGATATTATTATTATACTCCCATAAAAACTGTATGTTACCAACAATAATATGTTCATAGTTTTCAGGCAAACAAAGAATAAATATGAAAGAACAAAAATAACAATATAAACTAACAAGTGAGTCTGAGTCACCAGCTAGCATATGTAATGGTAGGCCTATATATGATTCTTCTTACTAAAATATTTAATGACATGCATAAAGATTGATAAGTAAATATCAGCATTTGTTCAGCACCTTCCATTTAGGTAATATTTCACTTTTTGAAAATAATTTTTGAGTCCTTATCTGGACTTTAGTACACCAATAGATCTGAAGTGATCACAGTCATGAGTCTTTTATCTTTTGTATGACTATACACAGCCTTCCAGATCTTCATGCAAATCAGTCCCCATGTACAGTGAAAGCATAACACATGCAAACGAGCTTACACAAACCAGGTGAACTTATGCACCTTCTTTTCATAAATGTCAATACATTCATGTTTGTATTGTGATGATAAATTGCATTTACATATCAAAATAAAATGATTGCAGCTGAATGTAAGGACAGTTTGCTTGTGTGTGGCCTATGTGTGAAATCTGGGCATTTGAAAAACTTCATAGAGATTCGGATACATTCCACATTTGTTTCCTGTCTATAATCTGAAACTGATATACATTAAACTGTTTTCATCCTTGTTGACTATGCATATGGGTTGCAATATTCAATTTGAAATGTAATATGCAAAATGATAATGCAATATGTAAAATGGCAATGCATTTCTGTATTTAAATTTACATTTTTCATTACATTTGTGCAACGTTTGGTGCAAAATGAAAATGATAATTCAAGGATATATAATTTACATTTGCCATTTCATACACTAGTTTTAATATGTAAATTGAATACATATTTTAACGCTTTATAAGTAGCAAAATTAAAATGTATTACAGAAATGATTCGATATTTTAACATGTTCAAGCAAAAACTGTAGCAAAATTATTATCCTAATATGTAAAATGGCAATGCATTTCTGTATTTAAATTTACATTTTTCATTACATTTGTGCAACGTTTGGTGCAAAATGAAAATGATAATTCAAGGATATATAATTTACATTTGCCATTTCATACACTAGTTTTAATATGTAAATTGAATACATATTTTAACGCTTTATAAGTAGCAAAATTAAAATGTATTACAGAAATGATTCGATATTTTAACATGTTCAAGCAAAAACTGTAGCAAAATTATCATTTAATGTTTCATGTTTCCTTCCAACACCTCACAATACGTGACATATGTTTAGGCTACCTGTTGCTGAGCCCTCCTTGATGCAGTGATTGAGAGGGCGAGGCAGGGCGAGGCGAGGTGCTAGGACGTGATCGGCTCGGAATGCATTTTCAATTCTCATTTCGCACATTGAATTTTGCTACATTCATTGCGGAATATTTAATGAAAATGCAATCGCAAGTGTCTTAACTGTGAGTGTAAATGCAATGACAATGACAATTTTGCTACAGTTTTGGCTTGAACATGTTAAAATATCTAATCATTTCTGTAATAAATTTAAATTTAGCAACTTATAAAGCGTTAAAATATGTATTCAATTTACATTAAAACTATGAAATGGCAAATGTAAATTATATAATTGATTTTTCAATTTCATTTTGCACCAACGCGTTGCACAAATGTAATGGAAAATGTAAATTGAAAAACAGAAATACATTACCATTTTACATATTGCATTATCATTTTGCATATTACATTTAGTTATACAAATTGAATATTGCTAACCATATGCTTCCAGTAAACCATTACATCCACAACGCTTTCTTTTTGCATGTACATATGACAAAGCTTTCAAGTAGCCAGTGTGTTTGCATTATCTATGAAAACAGAATTATGAGAGCCAGCCACTATATTTTTCCTGTTTAAATATTATTGTTGGCTTGAGTCGATTACTCCATAGACAGACTGATAGCGGTCCATGTGATTGAGGACACGGTGTCTCAGTTCTTTATGGGCCCATAGGGCAGTAAAAAAGAAAAGATGTATATCTCTTTAGAGACAGTGAGATCACTCAAAAAACTGCATCTGCCTATTTGTTTACTCTATTATCAACTTATACAAATACTGTTTATATTTAAGGCATTTAGCCTTTAGAGTCATATAAGATGTTTAATGTTGTCATATGTGGGATCACGTGATACAATGAGTTATGTGCAAATTAAAAATATGATTGCTGAATGTAGTTCTTCAACGTATAGCTAGTGCTTTCCATAGTGTTATCTCTCCATTGAATCCATTACAAGGAAAAACAAAATTACTTGGCAAATGTGAAGAATTCCTTTAAGCTCAAGCAAGTAATAGAAATGATTAATAGAAATTATTATTTTTTTAGCTGTTTGGTTGTTTGATGTTTGTTTGAATAAAGACTGAATAATGAACACATAATTTAACTGTAAAGCAGGAGTAAAGCTCCCCAAAAGCAGGAATGAAGAAAAAAAGGTGAGTTTTATAGCTAAGAACTCCCAACCAAATATGAGAGTCTGAATCTAGAGACAAAGGCAGCTTGGAAAACATGAAAGTCTCTTTGACTAATCCTAACAAAAATGGCTGTTCTAAAAATCCATTTGAAATTTCAGAGGGAACCTTTCAAAATGTGGAAATTAGTTAGCCTACTTTGTGTTAGTTTTTCCTCAGTGAATCATTGTACAAATTACACAAAATAACATAACAAAATAACATAACCGGGTGGATTGTTAGAATAGAACAAAAGTATGAAGGTTGAGAGAAGCTTATATATATAGGCAGCCTATATATATATATATATATATATATATATATATATATATATATATATATATATATATATATTACTTTACATATTTGATATAATTTCATTCCTGTAGAAGTTCTATCTGTTCTGTCCTTTATGTCTGCTTATTGTTTGATACATAATCAAAAAAGAAAAGAAGAAAAGAAAAGTGCAAAACTAACCGTGAAGACTTAAATGTAAACACAGCTTTTGTGTCTGTATCAGCTTTTCCATATACTGGCCCTGATCATCATCACAAATACTTACCGTTGCTCCATTTCTGTAAATCCGTTGTTATGTTTTTATGAATGAATGACTCTCTCATCCGTTGCTCTGTACTGTAGTTTTCTCATGAGTTTTCTTCGTCAACAGCCGCTTGCACCCCCTGCTGGTGAGATAGACTAACACAGCTATGGAGATTATCAATCGGCAATCTAGCTACTGATATTCCTGCCGTACCCGGATGTGAAATGTTGAATTTTCTGTCGAATTTGAACCACTGAATTTGTGGAAGCGAATTTGTGAAGCGAAATAAAATGGACCGAAAATTGCCTGTCGAATATTATAGGTTGTATTTTTAAACAGAATGAATATTTTGGAAGTGTAATCTGAAAGGTGAATATGGATTATTGAATTTTTAATAATGAAAACGTGTGTGAAATGTTTTGAATTTAAATTTTCACAGCTTAAATATAGCCTAGAACCATGTTGAATTTCAGCCCATAAAAATGCAAGCCCTAAAAATACAATGCATTAAAACGCAAGCAGGGTTAGCCTAATCTGCAATGCATCTTTTTTCAAGTAGCAGCTAGTGCAATTCAACAAGTTTTTTTTGTTTCAAAAACATTTGTCATTGTTTTACTTCCATAACTGGGGTTCTTTGGGGAACGCAAAATGATTCTGCTCACTGCGAAACCCCCTTTTGGAACCCCAAAAAATTGAATAAATAAGTTGCTTCAAATGTTACTTTGTTGTTACATTTTACTTTTAGATACTTTGGCTTTTAATTGAGTATTTTGTTTTAGTGTGTTCATATGGTTCATACATTCAGTAGTTACACTTCCTCCTGGCCAATTGGTGGCGCTGCTAAATGTACCTATAGCGCAAGCCACCACAATCCTCTCCAAGACAAAGATGTCTGATTCGTTTCCTTTGTTGTGATAGTGAAAATACGAATCTTACGGTTCTTATTTTGTATCCCCGCTTTAAAAGCAAGAAATCAAGTAGTTATCTTCTATCAGTATTTATCACACTTAAAAATGAGTGGCGGAGTGTATGGCGGAGGTAAGTGCGATTTTGGAGGGAGAATCAAATGAATGAATGCGCCACGTTTATGAGCTCGCTAGCCGTCAAACTAGCATGATATGATTTTTTCTTTTCTTATTTTGTGAAAATGAAACCGGAGCCCACGTTTCAGGTTTCTGTGATTAATAGAATGCAGAGTAACGTTACAGATGAATAGTAAATAAATAAAAAATAAATAAAAAAATTGCAGGACGATTTATGTATTAAAACGGACTCGCTTGTAACGTATATTTTTGACTACAGTATTGTCATTTTATCTAACGAATACTGAACGTGTTTTCCCTATAGTTGTATCCTCATCAGTTTTTCTTTGGACATTTTTCATTCTACACAGATGAAGTTGGAGCTCTTGTCTTTGACATGGGCTCATACTCAGTGAGAGCTGGATATGCAGGAGAGGATTGTCCCAAGGTGTGAACAGTAAGATGGATCCATAATCCATATATAGGTGGTAACGCTGAAAAACATAAGTTCTGAGCAAAAATGCAATTGTTTTGTGGTTTGTAGGCTGATTTTCCTACTGTGATTGGTGTGACTCTGGACCGGGAGGATGGCAGTACACCGATGGAGACAGATGGAGAGAAGGGAAAGCAGAGCGGCACCACCTATTACATCGACACTAACCAGCTCAGGGTCCCTAGAGAGAACATGGAGGTCATGTCACCTCTCAAAAATGGGATGAGTAAGTTTTTTTGTGGAGAGTGACTCGAGTTTGAATCCGCCTTTTTCTGAACTTTTCCTATCGCATATCAGCTCGGAGATGTATTTATTTTAAATTAAAAAAATGAAAATATTTTTAAAAAGTGCCTTACAGGTATTTAATTTTTTACATTAATTTGACTGTTTTTTTCTGAAGTTGAGGACTGGGACAGTTTCCAAGCCATTTTAGATCACACCTACAAAATGCACTTCAAATCAGAGCCCAGTCTGCATCCAGTCCTGATGTCAGAGGCCTCGGTATGTTGATTTTATGGCATAAATCTAATCTGCAGATCACATAATACATGTGCCATCTGTTAGGATGCTTCACTTAACTTCCTGTGATCTTATTTTCTTCATCTTGCAGTGGAACACACGAGTGAAGAGAGAGAAGCTGACTGAGCTAATGTTTGAGCATTACAACATTCCTGCTTTCTTCTTGTGTAAATCTGCTGTCCTGTCTGCGTATCCTACATTTTAATTGGCTAGCTGAAGATCCAGATCTTTGTAGAAGACAATGTCATGTGTTTAGAGTTGCTTTAGGTGGATAATACTTGTACAATAACAGAGGAATGACAATAGTTGATTTAGGGTGTGTTCACACTTGTAGTTCGGTTAATTTGGTCCGGATCAACAACAACAACAAAAAAATATTCCTCCTGGTCCACTTAGCGTTCAGATTGGCATTTTAACACCGAACCTAAAGGCATAGGGATACATTCACAACCTGACTGGTCGGCTTTTATTAAGTATGTGGGACTTACCGAACATCCAAAACAATGCTGTGTGCTGGGCTAAATGTGCTCCTCGTATGTGCTTAGCCTGCATACGTATTTTCACCTCGTGAAGAGCTTATAAAATGTGTAATGTAGTGAAAACAGTGACAGGAATTCCTCTGTCACACACACAAATGAAGAAATGCTGTGAGGAGACGCGGTTCTGATGCCTGTACCGAACTGTGATGGGCAACATCACGACTATGATGAGAAAAAACTGGTACTTTTTAGGGTTGCATCTCGAGACGACATGTTCCGTTTTTGGTTTGTTTACATGTATTTGGTCCGTGTTGCGTTCATATTTAATTCGAACCGCACCAGAGTTCGTTTGGAAGTGGACCGATACTCATCTTTTCAGCGGTCTCATCCCGCTTTTTTGGTGCGCACCAGGGTTCAGATAGCAGCGTTCACTCTAATTTAAATGAACCACACTAACAGAGCAATCGCACCAGGGTACGTTTTAATCAAACCAAACATGCCAAGTGTGAATACACCGTTGAATTTCAAATTTAGGCAGGGTATTCATCTTAAAAGGCCAGCAGGAACATGAAATGTTGAATCCTTTACTCAGCATTCCAGGTTTGCCAATGGGCGATCCACAGGTTTAGTGTTAGATAGTGGATCAACACACACAACAGCTATTCCAGTGCATGATGGTTATGTTCTACAACAAGGTAATTTGAATCACTTAGACTTTTCAAGCATATTTTACTACACTGTCCTGTTTTAATGTTACAATGCTACAGTTAACTTCAATTCACACATTTCATTAATATGTTTTTACACCAGGGAATTTTTTTAAAGAATTTCTATCAAATTTTAAACTGAATGATTTTATGTTATTGGAATGTTGTATACAGTTAATACAAAATATTAATGCCATTCATTTTTGTTTAATTTTTAGTCTAGTCTATCTAGTTTTTATTTAATTTATTTTATCATGAATATAGCCTTTGATACTCTTCTCTTTTTTTAAAGCTATTTTCAAAGGTCATTCAAAATATATTTATGTATATATTATTATATTTATGTATATATTCTATAATGTGTTTTATGATCTTCCAGGAATTGTAAAGTCTCCTCTTGCTGGCGACTTCATGAGTATGCAATGTAGAGAGTTGTTCCAAGAGTTAAGTGTTGAAATAGTACCTCCGTATATGATTGCATCAAAGGTGAGGCCTGCTGAAGTTTACTTTTTTATTTTATGAATACTATCATCTCTGTCTGGAGGTTGCAATTTTTATTACATTTTTGAGGTGGTGGGGAGAAAGTAAAATGAATTGAATTTTTCATTAAAGGATTCAGTTCGTGAAGGAGCCCCCGCCAGTTGGAAGAAGAAAGAGAAACTACCTCAAGTTACCCGTTCATGGCATAACTATATGTGTAATGTAAGCGATGGGAACTGAATCATAGCGAAAGTTACTTAACATACTGAAGTGCATTTTTAACAACTATTAAATATTGCTACCTGTCATTTCAGACTGTCATACAGGATTTTCAGGCCTCTGTGCTACAGGTTTCAGATTCATCCTATGATGAACAGTAAGTTAATTTTTTCCCCGCACATTACCGTATCAGTTTCCACACAAATATTAAGCAGCAGCACAACTCTTTTCAACATAAGCAATGTTTCTTGAGCAGAAAATCGGCATATTAGCATGATTTCTGAAAAATCGTGTGACACTAAAGACTGGAGTAATGGCTGTTGAAAATTCAGCTTCGCCATCACAGGAATAAATTACATTATAAAATATATTCACATAGAAAACGGTTATTTTAAATTGTAGTAATATTTCACAATAGTACTGTTTTTACTGTATTTTTTTATTGCTTTGTGAGCACAAGGGACTTTCAAAAACAAAATCACAGATTTTGCACAGACACCGATTTTTGAACGGTAGTGTATATAGCATTTACAAGTTTATGTCATAATTCACTTTTTTGATTTTGAGCTTTTGGATATGTTAAATGCTTATGATCTTAATGTAAAGGAAAAAACACATTGTTACAATCTGCCCTTTACAGAGTAGCTGCCCAAATGCCCACTGTTCACTATGAGCTGCCTAATGGGTACAACTGTGATTTTGGAGCGGAAAGACTTAAAATCCCTGAGGGTCTGTTTGATCCTTCAAATGCTAAGGCAAGACATATCCTCTTTACTCTGTACAAGTTTTATTCTGAAATTGCTAGTATTAACTTTCATTAGTCTTAATTTTCACAGGGTCTATCAGGGAACACCATGCTGGGAGTCAGCCATGTTGTGACCACAAGTGTTGGCATGTGTGACATAGACATTCGACCAGTAAGATTTCAAAAGATTGCTTTATGTTCATTTACATGTCCTGTGTCTGTGCTGTCAATGCAAGTGACATTATGCTGCCCTTGTTTTTTTTTTGACAGGGTCTGTATGGCAGTGTGGTAGTTACAGGAGGAAACACTCTCATCCAAGGGTTTACAGACAGGCTTAACAGAGAACTCTCGCAGAAGACGCCACCAGTAAGTGGCACTTTGTATTTTTGCTTTATACCCTTAGTCAGGGTAGCGCCATATATAATGTCAGGAATGAAAATGAGGCTGTGAGGGATATAATACAGTGTGTTCAAAGCATTGCACCGTTGTTAAACATACTTATTGATCAGCTGACTAAATGCCTTCCCACAAAAAAAAACAAAAAAACTTAGTTTTAAAAGTTAGGACCTTTATACGGTGCTATTGTAGACTAAGTCTATCTCTCACAGCCTCGTTTTCATCTGTTAAATTCAAAATGGCTCCACCCAGACTAAGGTATATTAGAATGTCAGTTGGGTCTTCATTGCTTTGATAACATGAGTTGTTTTGTCCTCTCTGCAGAGTATGCGCTTGAAATTGATAGCCAATAACACAACTGTTGAGCGCAGATTTAGTGCCTGGATTGGGGGCTCCATCCTCGCATCCCTGGTGAGTAGTTCACTTAGGCTGCCACAACTACATGAGTGTTATGGCCAAAATAATTCTTGTTATTATTAATTATGTTATACATGTAGAGAGAGAGAAAAAAAAGGTATGTCAAATTCTTAAACTGATGCTATGTTTTCTCTCTTTTGACCAATAAATCGCACTCAAAATGCCAAGGTAGAGAGGCAGAGAGAGTTTGTAATCATAACTGTACAAAATAACTTTATCAGCATTTCCGGTAAAAACATACTGCAACGTGACTGGCTTTAGTAGGGGTAATGGTTCTGCTTAAGGTAAAGGCTGTTGGACTCGACAGGGACTACGTTTACATGTGAACCAATAATGTGATTATTTTTAATAATCAGGGTAAGGTCTTAATCGCAGTAAGATGTTTACATGACACAAGCAGAACTCTTCTTCACTCCAGTTTACTTGCAATTTTCATTATTCTGATTATTCGCTAATAAGTATGGTTATACGGTATACCACACTCTGATAGGCATACAGTATGCATGTTATCTACTCACATCAAATTCAAAATAAAAAACCATTGCCATGATGAACATCGCAATGCTGGGTTTGCCTTTGCTGCCGTTGCTTTCTTCGCGGCGTCTGGAGGAAGATAGGGAGCAGAGACTGCGCAGTTGTGTTGACAGAGTTTAGCGATTTAGAGAACTAGAGAAAACTTCAGAATAATGTCACAGTCACAGAGTTCATTCATGAAGTTGTGTGAACAACACACAGCATTCGTATTGAACCGAGCACATGCGCACTTTGGTCAGAGCAGTAATAATGCAATTAAGGTGTTTACATTTACATCGATCAAAATCGGCGTATGCCAAGTACTTTAATGTGAAAATGGTTACTACGATTATGAGCTTAATTGCATTAGTTTGATCAAAGTATTGCGTTTACATGAGGTAAAGTTATATTATATAAATCTTAATATTGCCTTAATCCCAGGGTTTTTCCTGCATAGAGAATTAGGAGGCGGCCGCCTCCGTCAAATTTCGTTCCGGCTCTCGACAAAACTCAATCAATCATTATAATGTGTTGAGTTTAATAAAGACACGGAAACTCTCATCACGGTAAAACGCAATCAACGTGCGTCACTTTTACTTTCGTTTTCAACAACGTAATTCTCTTCAGCGAAAACCAATCAAGGAAAACGCATATCAGGGCTCGACATTAAAGCTTGTTCGGGACAAGTGTTTTTTTTTGAAGGGACAAGTGAATGAGAATTTTACTTGCCCAACCAGACAAATGCCCTGATTGAAACAATTTTCAATATCAAAGAAATAAAATAAAAAATAACTAGGGAATCACTCAATCCCATTATGAGGGTGCATAAACACACTGAGTGATCCTTACAACTTGGCAAAGAACCAGTGGTCCGTGGGCATTGACATGTCAGGAATCGTGTTTCCTTACATTTATATGTACCCAGGGAAATACATAAAGCAAAGTCTGTGAACGCTTTGTGCTAGACAACACTAAGTACAGTATAGCTAGATCTAAATCTGGATAACTTATGATTCACAGTTGAAATCGAAATTATTTATCCCCGTTGCAAATCAGGTTTATTGGCAAAATGTACATACTTTCAGCAGTTTGCAATGAGCAAATCAAACAAAAGTAATAAATAGCTCAACACAACAAATGTTTCCACAAATTCAACTGAAAATGCAACTTTTAATGATTTCTGTTGTCTTAAAATGATTCAACCCCTTCATGGCAAGCATTTTTAGTACTGGGTAGAACACCCTTTTGCTGTTATGACCTTCTGCAAATGAGATGCATAACCAGACACAAGCTTCTGGCAGCGTTTCTGAGGAATCTTAGTCCATTCCTGATGAGATATGTCCTCCAGTTGAGTCATATTCATGGGTTTGTGTGCTGCAACCGCCTTCAAATCCCACCAGAGATTTTCTATGGGGTTCAAGTCAGGTGACTGTGATGGACACTGTAGAATCTTCCAGGACGACTTCTGCAACCAAGCCTTGGTGGAATTTGAGGTATGCTTGCATGGGATCATTGTCCTGTTGGAAGGGTCCAATGACGCCCAAGCTTCAGCTTCCTCACTGACAGCATGACGTTTTCTCCTAGGATTTCCTGATACTTCAATGAATCCATCTTGCCTTCCACACACTGCAGGTTTCCAGTGCCAGAGGATGCAAAGCAGCCCCAGAGCATCACCGAGCCGCCACCATGCTTAACTGTAGACAGTGTGTTCTTTTCAGCATATGCTTAATTCTTCTTCCTCCAAACATACAGCTGATTCATAAGGCCAAAAATGTCCAAAAGGCCCAAAAAGTTTTGTTTCATCGCTCCACAGAACAGATTCCCAAAATCTCTGAGACTTATTTTTATGATTTTGAACCAATTGGAGCCGACTTTTCTTGTGCTTTTGGGTCTGTAGTGGTGTACGTCTTGGAGTTCTGGCATGGAAACCGCATGCGTTTAGTACCCGCCTTACTGTGCAGCTGAAACTTCAGTGCCTGTTGCCAGCAAGTCTTGCTGCAGGTCTCTTGCAGTCACTCGAGGGTTTTTCTGAACCTGTCTTCTCAGAAATCTGGTTGAAGCCGTTTATAGCTTCCTTTATCTGCCCCATCCAGGTAGTGTAACCACTGTTCATTTAACTTTGAACTTGTGAACTATGCTTCCAACGGTGTTGCATCACTAGGAACATTTAGTGCCTTCGCTATCTTTTTGTATCCTGTTCCTTGTTTGTTTATGGGCGATGATATCCTCAACTTTTTGGACTATTCTTTTGACTATATAATATTTCTAACATGCAGTCAAACGTGACACTCAACAAACCTAGCCAGTTCAGATATGTCATGTGTTCTAGCTCCAACTAATGAAGCTCTTGTTTAGTTGCATCAAGTGTGCTCGAGACAACACCTGTTTCGCAGATTTGTGCTGTTGTGAGGGATTCTATTCAGGGGGTTGAATAATTTTAAGACTCCAGAAGTCATTAAAAGTTTTTTTTCAGTTGAATTTGGAGAAACCACTGAAAAGTCTGAACATTTTGCAAATAAACCTGATTTTCAATGAGGGTTGAATAATTTCAGTTACAACTGTAAATCGTCATATCACCCAGCCCTAAAATTAGGCATTATAGACTTAACGTTCTTTCTGTAAAGCTGCTTGGAAATGTGTATTGTGAAGCGCTAAATAAATTTGACTTAAGGCTTGGTCATACTTCAAGATTTGTTGGTGAAACTAAGGTGATGACACCAATGGATATTCTGGTTGTTTCAATATATTTTGTAGAAACTTTGAAAATTATCTGGATAACTGCTAGCTAGCTGATGCAGAGTAATCTATTTAAATATCACCGATATTGTCAATGTTAACCATAACTATATCATATGATAATTGACTTTTTTTTTCTTTTTACCTTTAGGGAACTTTCCAGCAAATGTGGATTTCTAAACAGGAGTATGAGGAAGGTGGGAAACAGTGTGTTGACAGGAAGTGTCCTTAACCAGTTCCTGCAACACCAGGTTGTCTTCTGAAGGAGATGAAAATAAGAAATATACCACCCAGTAGAAAAAGCCTTCTTAGTGGACTCAGGAACTAACAAGGACAATTGCTGTTATTTTTAGTGCAAGCAAACCATATTTTAAACAGTTTAATGTGGTTGCACTCTTTTCTACTCCTCCACATAATATTTTCATATCCAGTTTGGCAACAAACTTTTCTGACCACCTGATTCATTCTAAATAACAGTGACAAGGTTGTGTTTTGGTACATGAGAATTATGACCCCTTAATTGTATCAGTGCCTAGGACAGTTGATTTTTTTTTTTTTTTTGCACCACAGGAAACCAAATGTTTGTTATGCTTTTAACAAATCAGCTCTTTTGGGAATAAAATTGTTTGTTAAACTGGTCTAAATTGATCTCATTTTGTTTGAATAGGTAAGAATGTCAATGCAGTGATTCTGTACTTTTGTTCTAATATTTAGTACATTTTAACTGGTCTATTCTGACTTGCATATTGAGGAAAACCTATAATGTGTCCCTTGAACTCAAGAAGAGGGATGATTTTCAATCCTAATAATTTACATATTTAGAAAGACATAATCGAAAAAGGTAAATACACAAACAGTCTCTGTTCCAAGTTTGGATTTATTATTTGACTGTACAACATTTTCTGAGAAATGAAAAAAGTATTGTGTGTTGAAAAGACAATATTAAATGCGAAAAGCCTTTTCAATGATCTCATGCATGTGCAGTCTTTTTTGGAAACATTGCTGATAGCTTTTTTTGGTTTCTCTTTTCTTTTTTTTCTTTCCGCATTTTATTCTTCAGGTATTTTTCAAGGCTTAACCTAAAATTCAGAACAGCAGAGTTAAACATGTCTGTGCATCAAGGAAATGTAATAACATCTGTTAGAGAGGCACAGAGTTTATATAAAAATATAATCTGAAAAAAAACTAATATTATATCATCTATTTGAATAAATCTCATGTAAATAACTATTTTACAGAGCCCCTAGTTCACTCGCAAAGAATGAAAAATATTTGCGAGAAAATGCAACTCAAAAGCTTTGCAATATAATTTCCCCTTGGGGGCTCTGCACCATGTCCATTCTGTTAAAATGCTAAATGTTAAATTATTGTTACTTTGATGGGGTAACATTTTTCTATAGACCTGACAGACGTACCTCGTGTAAGGGGCGACATGTGATGGTTCAAAGAATCGGCGCCTTTTGTATCTCGAATTAAGGTGCCAGGGGATTGGGTGTTCCAAGAAGCGGTACCTGATGAAAAAACATGCTCGTAATTTGAGTTACACAAAATAGATGTGCAAAAGAGAATAATCTGCAAAACATTTGATTTGCTTACCAGAAGGTTTTGCCAAAGACATTTCTTCGCCATGCGCCTGGTCTAGCTTTCTCTTGTCCAGTCTGCAGTAAGCGCAGAGCATCCTCACGTTCTTTCACAATAGTGTCAAGACGCATTATTGACTTTTCAACCTGTTAAAAGAATTCAGAATGGATATAGAGTCATCCGAATTGAACAAGCATAGAACAGACACAGATTCACCCTATGTTTAAACTTCAGAACTAAGAGCTGCTCGTTTTGGCTGTCATTTCATTAAAGAGTAAATCATGAAACCAAGAATACACAACAGATACAACTTGGCAGGTTGTGCAAATATTTCCTTTTAGAACAGTGGTGGAAGAACTGGAAAAATCCAGTTTAGAGTCAAAAGTAGTTTTACTTATAAAAAGCACCACGGAAGTATGAATGCTTCTTTTCAAACATTTGGGGTCAGTAAGATATAAATAAATAAAGTTTTTGAAATAAGTCTTATGCTCACCCAGGGTGCATTTATTTGATTTAAAAGAAATTATGGACTAAACTGCTCAATTCATATTGATTATTATTTACAATCTCTTTATGGATTTCATCAAATTCACCAGATTTCATCAAAAATATCTTCATTTGCGTTCTGAAGATGAACGGAAGTCTTAAGGGTTTGGACAAACATGAGGGTGAGTTATTAATGACAGAATTTTCATTTTTGGGTGAATCTCTGGGTGAATATTTTTGTAGAAACCATGATGCATTTTTTTCAGGATTCTGATAAATAGAGTTAAAAAAAATGCATTTATTTGAATTAGATTTTTGTGTAACCATGCAAAAGTCTTTACTGACACTTTTGATTGATGCAATAAAAGCATTTTTTAAAACAAATTCAATTGACCCCTAACTTTTAAATACTAGTGTAGTGTACCATGGGAAGCACTGCATCATCAATGTACCATGGTACTGTCCCAGTATTCAAGGTTATTCCATTTTATCAGAAACTGCAATTAAATATAGTTTTAACATTTCATAGTCATACCTTTTTGATGCGTTCTGGACTGGGCATCTGAACACACTGTCGTTTACCCTCCTGTTCTAAAGTGAGTAACATGTTCTTTTCCTTCAAGAGAACATACCTTAGAAATTCAAAAGAAATGTGGGTGAATATTTGTTGCAATGTTTCTTTAAAAGTCTTTTTTTTTTTAAAGAAGTAAATTACCAAAGTTTGTGCAAGTCTTCATTACTTTTCACCCTAAGCTGTTTGGCAGTCCATGGAGCACCTATGAGGTTACAAAAAAATAAATCATGAGACAACAATATCAACACAATCAAGTGAAGGTGGTGGATCATTATGACTGTCTCAAAACCTAGTAGCCTTCTTATTTATTCATGTACACACACACACACATATACATATACATATATATATATATATATATATATATATATATATATATATATATATATATATACATGCTTCTTACACACACACACACACACACACACATATATATATATATATATATATATATATGTGTGTGTGTGTGTGTGTGTGTGTGTGTGTGTGTGTGTGTGTGTGTGTGTGTGTGTGTGTGTGTGTGTGTGTGTGTGTGTGTGTGTGTGTGTGTGTGTAAGAAGCATGTATATATATATATATATATATATTAGGGATGCACGATATATCGACCACATATCGATATCGGCCGATAAATGATCTTTTTTGATGTTATCGTTATCGGTCTGATAAGAAAATTGGGCCGATATATCAAAGCCGATAGATAGATTATTTACTTCAGTTGAGAGATGCGCGCTGTTCGCCATGATGGTTCTGAATGATTGGATTCACTTCGAAAAGGAAGATACAGTTCAGTGCAACATGTGCAGCACAAATCTGTCACATAACATTATAATAAAAACATGCAAAAGAATGTTGTGATTTGTTGTTCGCCAGTGTTTCAGCGCGACGAGCGCGTTGTGGCAGAAAGAGCGCGTCTATGGAGTTTAGCCTTCATGACAAGCACAGTCAAGTTCTCTTGAGCATTCGCAGCATTCTGCGCCATTGTAAGTTGTAATATGTTTATTTTGTGTATGTATATCTGATTAATCTAATATAGGGTGCGTTTGGTTGAGTTAATGAACGATGCAGTAGCGCTTCATTGTACCGGTGATCATCTTTGCTGTGATCATCTTTGATCATTTTAGCGTTGCGCAGCTCAAACAGCAATGCACATTTATAACTATAATTGGGACTGTCATATACATGCCATTATAATGAGAACACTATTGTAATAAAACGTTGTGAATTCTCTGTTTAGTTGCCGTTTCAGCGCGTTGTTGTGAGAATAGCGCGTCTAGAACAGGGATTAGCCTACACATTATGACCAGCACAAGTTCGATTATGCATTCACGTCATTTTGCGCAGATAAGTCGTAATATAAAGTTGATGTAATATAAATATCTGATTAATCTCACATATGATGCGTTTCGTTCGTGGATTTAAACAACCTGCTAGAAAAGTTCTTCAGTTTATGCCGGTGCTCGTTCTCTTCAGCTTCAGCGCGCGAAGATTAAACAATGCAAAACATTAAAAGCTATGATTGGGACTGCCATACAATTCTAATTGTATTCACTGTATTGTAATACATTTGTAAATTCTTTGGGTTTGCATTCTTCAACAACCGTTGAGTTGATTAACCTTCTAGCAATCAACCTTCTCTTCAGCTTCAGCGCGCGCAGCTCACACAGCAATGTCATTTGAAACAGTAACTATAAGCTATTGAAGATGTTTACTATCAATGTAATATTAAAAATGTTAATTTTTTTTCAAAAACATTGCGTTATAATTAATAACTAACATTATTTTGTTCTCGTATTATTTTCATCAACGATATGGTTTGATTAAAATATTTTTTTCTTATTGTGCGTGCGGAGGCGATTCCATTTTATTGATCCATGGGACATGCATTTTGTTTCTTTATATGCAGCCCAATGTTATCCAATGACTTGTTTGCATTATTTATGTATTTTATTTTTTGTTAGGCAATAGATTTTTTGATAACACTTTACAATAAGGTCTCATTTGTTAATGCATTAACTAACAGAGAGCAATAGCCTTTGTTATTGTTAGTTAATAAAATATGTGCGTTCATGTTAGTTCACAGTGCATTGACTAATGTTAACAGATACAACTTTCTTAAAAATGTTTTATAAAATTGTTGGGTCATGCTAACAAAATTAAACCCTATTATGAAGTACCATTTTTTAATAAAGAAAGTTGTCCATATGAGTGTAAAATTAATTTTAAAAGTTAAGGAATCTTACACTGGTTCAAACTAGGCTATACTGTATTGTGATTTGATTTATGTTAAACGTGTTTGAGACCAGGCTTTTAATGGTGAGCCTTTTGTTATACAGGCTATCAAAGTATATAAAAATTTTTATTTAGATTTATCGGCCAATATATCGGTTATCGGCTTTCAAATGTAAAGAATTATTGGTTATCGGTATCGGCCAAAATGTTCATATCGGTGCATCCCTAATATATATATATATATATATATATATGTGTGTGTGTGTGTGTGTGTGTGTTGGATGCCCCAAAATGCTGTCTAAGTAGGAGCACCTTAGGTTTTGAGACAACCAACAGCTTATAGTAACTGAACAATAAACATTCAGGTTAGTACCTGATTTAACTGTAAGTTCCCCCCAGTTCTCTGGCAGGTCAAAAAATTCTTCCAATCCTTTTCTAACACAAGATGTGTGGAGTGCTCTGTTATTCATGGGACTTCTGAACCACCACGAGTCATACATTTGTCTAAATTCCGAGAAATGTGAGAAGAGATCAAATTAATTGGTGACATTAAAACATGCTTCTTTCTTTCTGGATATCATGATGCATTGACATTTAAGCCCGACATATAATCAGCAAGAAAAACATACCTTTGTTGACACGAGTGAAATGTGGACAGCGCTTGGGTCGCATATTGAGGCTGTGTGTGTGAAGACACTTTAACAAAACGTTGAAATTGTCTGCAGATAGCAGTAGTCAAGCGGCTCGTTACGGCCGCAGCCATCTTGACAATGTCAAACGAACTAATGAACGGAAACGTGCAGCGCCACCTGTCGGACAGTCGAAAACATTTCTCCTGTGATTTCTCCACGTTAAAAGTTCTAACGTTTTTGTGCAAAATGTTCAACACCACAACACACAACAATGCGAATTGGCAATAAAATGTTATCTAACAAGATCAGTTATTTAAAATAACTTTGTGTATTTAACAAAAACTTTGAACGCTTTTTGCCCCACTGTTGATTTTTATTAAAATGTTTATTATTATTATTAATTATTTTTAACAACAATTTTATTAAATATTTGTTTTTAATTGTAATTATTATTAAAATATTATTTATTAAACTTATTTGAATTAATGTAATTATTATTAAATTATTATTTATTATTTTATTAAAATGTATTTTTTTCTTTTAAGATGGGTTTTTTCTTATTGGACATAACATCACATCACATTTTATTGGAAGTGGAACCATTGTACTGCACACTATTCGTTTATAATGCCTTTATGTATAGATTTGATTATTTTAGTCTTTTAAACCCATAAGCATATTAAAAAAAAAAATTATAAGAAGTAGTTCAGCAAACTGAACGGTAAATCTGTACTCACAATGGTTTCAAGAATTTCTCCGATTCAAATCTTACCAAAATAATCTTTTTTTTTTTTTTAGGGCCATCTTTTCATTCGAACTTTTAATTTGCCCTAAGTCTCAATGGTGAATATGGCTGTACTCTGCGTTAGATGAGCCAATCAGTGAAGCCCGTGTGTTCACGCGCTCCCTCAACAGTCATGGTGGGTATGAGCGTATTGAGGACGGCGGCTGCATTTGCAGCCAGATTAAACCCGCTGAAACGAACATGTCAATCCTCAAATCTACTCTCCAGGACTGTTGCACGTTCAGAACAAGGTAAAGATTGTAATTTTTTAGTAAACTCAGCGGTATGACCGGTTAGGGTGATTAAAACTAGCAGTGACCTTGCTTTGCTTGCCAAGTGTAAGTTACAAGCTGGCCTTAACAACAATCCCCACTGTAACCTTCCGATAGATATATGTATAAAACAGCTGCATGTATGTGATATGTTAATATACATCATGGGCGTTTTTACATATAGAGATATAATTAAACCGGTTTTGATTCAAAATATCTCTTGAGCTTCTTACCCTTCACACACAAGTGTTGATATGCAAGCAGTCTATTTACTAAGTTAGACAAGCACAATATTTTGGCCCTCATTGAGTACGTAACACTTAAACTTTATATTGTAAAAACTTGAACTTATTAGAACTTATAACTGAACTTATATTGAATAAAAATCAGTGGTGGAATGTAACGAAGTACAAATACTTCGTTACTTTACTTAAGTACATTTTTCACGTATCTGTACTTTACTTAAGTAGAATAAATTAAGTATATATATATATATATATATACCATATATAGTAAGGGTATATAGTAAGCTTGATGTGTAGGCTATATTGCCTAATTGCCAGTTTGTTCAGAAATGGTGACAAAAACTTAAAATATAACTGCTTTTCCATCATATTGAACATCATTATATGAGTATTAGGTTGAATGAGTTACAATTAACTGTTTTATTAATCATTAGAATATAGACATTAAGAGAATAAATTATTATGCAAGTACTTTTACTTTTAATACTTAAAGTACATTTAAAATCAGGTACTTTTTACTTTTTACTTAAGTAGGGTTGTCATTGTGGTACTTCTACTTTTACTAAAGTAAATATGTCTCTGGTTATTTGTACTTTTACTTAAGTACTGAGATTCAGTACTTCCTCCACCACTGATAAAAATAGCGTTTTGTCTGCAATTTAACTGAAAACCTATTACAGTGATATGTAGACATGCTAAACCCTTTTATTGTTATTTCTATTAATATTTTTGCCTTTTCTTTTACAGTTGTTGTCCGTCATGGGAGCCATGGTAAAAGGATGTTTATCATCAAGCCCACTGACTTCTATGATAGAAGATTTCTTTACCTGCTGGTAAAGCCTGTTATAAGTACTTTACTTCAGTTGCATATCCTTCTTGGTGCTTGTTCTTATTCATATAACAATTTTTTTCAACCTTTCTCTCCTCCCTTGCTTCATTACACCAGAGAAATTACATTCTTTACACTGGTATCCCTATGGTAGCACTTGTGACCTTTGTTAATGTTTTCGTAGGTAAGTTTCTGATGTAGCCTATCTGACAGTTTTCCTTCCTGTAGTTGCTGTACCTGCCATAATAACTTGATTAATGTCTGCAATTCATTTAACAGGAGAATCTGAGCTAGCAGAGACACCTGAAGGCTACGAACCAGAGCACTGGGAGTACTACAAGGTATTTTAAAATATTTAAGTGCATAAAAACTTCAAGTACACTGCATATCCCAGTAAAAATTGTCCATTGTTAATTGAATAAAAAAAAATTTAAATTGTGTTGCTATCATAATGATTCATGTCTTTTCTTTCATTTGTTGTTTTTATTATCACTTAGCATCCCATCACCCGTTGGATCGCACGTACCTTTTATGACAGCCCAGTGAAGGACTATGAAAAAATGATGGCACTTATCCAAATTGAGACTGAGAAAGCTGAAATGAGGTATGTTGCCTTCACATGATTCAACTAATTAGCCTAAATGAGACTATACATGAATGATATGTCAATGTAAAACATCTTGTTTAATATTTTCTGCTGTTTTGTTTTTCTTTTGTTTGTTTTTTATTTTATTTATGCACATACAATATACAATATATATATATATATATATATACATACTGTATAATTTTCTACGGTTTTCTAAGGTTTCATTTGTTAACGTGACCTAACAATGAAAAATACTTTTAAAGCATTTATTAATCTTAGTTCATGTTAATTGCAACATTTTCTAATACAGTATTTAAATCAAAAGTTGTATTTGTTAATATTTAATGGAGGGCAGGGGAAGGCACAGGATGATGTAAAATTATTTAATTATATATAAAAAAAATCTAACTTAATTAAAATGGGCGGGGGAAAAATCAAGATGAATAAAAATATTTATTTTCTCCCCCTCAATAACTTAATCAGAATCTTGGATCTGGAATCACAAAATGAATCATAGTTAATTCATTATCAACACTGGCAGTTTCTGTTAATAAAAAAGTTTGAAAAGAATTATAGATATTTTATATAGAAGATATTTTCAGCAGAAATACCAAAGGAATGGCTGAGCACTTCCTGTTGCTGGGATTTGAGCATTTTATAAATGCATCTTTCTTTATATGTTGAGAAGAAATTGGCACCCAAATCGTGAGCCATTTTGTTCACAGTAGAATCAACATTTGATTGTCTAGACTAAAGGTTTAGATGACTTAGTTTTGTACTTCCTAAACAGTCTTTATCATGACCTTTTGAAGTTCTGCTCACTAAAGTGATCCACACCATATGTAGGTTCATTTTGAGTTTAAGGTGCCTCCAAGTAAAGAAATATCACAATGTCATTAATAAACCATGTACTAGAAGGTTGGAAGAAAAGAGGAAAAATGTCTGTAGGGTAAAAAATAATGAAGGAATTGTCAAAACCTTAGGGTACAATTTAATGGAACTACAACAACAAAGGCACTTTGAAATGTTTTTACTGTTTACAAAAAATGTATCTTGTTTTTATGTAGCCTAATTGATGATATCTAATTTATTATTCACTATTTTTCTGGCAGACAACAACAACTTGAAGTCCGCAGACACATGAGAGAAAAAGGAGATGGACCCTGGTTCCAAATTAAGACACTTGATAAGAATCTCATCGACAACAGCCCCAAGTCATCCCCTGATAACTAGGAGGGGTCATGTATACCTGTCCAAAATATTCAGGCATTATACAATGTATAATGTACTTGTTGATAAAAAAAAAAAAAAATTGCTTTTCCCCCCCTTTTCTTTGCCTCTGGCACCAATAAACTAATGATACTAAGTTACTGCTCTTGTGTATTCTTTTTAAGTGGTACATCAAGGATTTACCCTAAAATTCAAATTCTGTTTTCATTTACTCATTTCAGACTGTTTAGTGTTTATAGAATCTTGAAAGCTCATGTCTCCAGTCATTATTATTTCATGAAAAAGAGTGGCCGAATTATTCATATTCTTTTATGTCCAAAAGGTGTAGAAAAGTCATGCAGGTTTTCAAGTTAACAAATACCAACAAAATAATTTAAATCAAAACCTAAATATTTGCATCATTGCAGTAATATACAGTAACCATAATAGTAATATGCACTACATCAGATGATGTCTATTATAAAATGGTTTCAGAACCAGAATTAAATTTAATTCCATAAATTACTCCTTTGAGCAGGGCAAAAAAATAAAACAGCCGAATTTCTTCAGCCTTTTAATATTTAAGTAAAAGACAAAACACCTGGGCCCGTATGTATAAAGCCACTCAGAGTAAAATTTTAGTCTCAAGTCTGTCAAAATTCTAAGAATTACATAATTTTACTCTTATTCCTAAACTTAAGAATAAGTGTGATTCATAAAAGTTCCTAAGTGCTAAGACTTGGTCTCAGCTCCTAAATTATTTAAGAGAGCTGGAGAGGTCTCCTAACCTAGTTAGGAGTAACAAGATGGCAGCAGAGAGGTTAGGCCATGCACTTTTCAACGAAAATATGATATATTGTAGTTAAATGCGTTGATCAAACAATAAAAAAAAAAGTTTAATCATCAAGGTATTCTTTTTGTAACTTACCTTTAAAAAGTTTAATAGCAATAAAATTAAAGTAATAATTATATTTTTGGCGACTGGAGAAATGCAGCAGTGCACCTGTGATGACTCGGGCCCTTCAGTCCACAGTTATAAGCTCTTGAATAGCACTATTGTGACACTGACCACACCAAATATACAGTGGAGGTATGAGGTATGGACAGATGAAGGACCCCCAGGATTGGATAGATGAGAAGGTAATAAGTGACGTGACAATTTAGTCTTCCTGGCAGAAATTAAGCAAAAGCTTTTATTTCCATTGTAAAAAATCATTAGTTATCTATTTAGTTAATTTATCTATACAGCCACTCTGGTGAAAACAGTGATGTCATCGTCCAGTTCAGTTCAGTTCTCATATAATGGTATCAATGCAGGCAGATCAATATTATTTTTAAATATTAAGTGACAAATAAGGGCAAACTACAGCTACAAGTTTTAGAAAAACAAAACAAAAAGATAGAGGGAAAATTCTTAACGGTGATACTTATATCTTAACAGGCTTGGGAGGGATTAAATAGATTAATGGGTAGGCCAAATAAAAAGGATGATAACTGTGTAAGTAAAAGTTTTATTAATGATTTAAATAACTTTTATGGTAGATTTGACACTGTGGAAGGCAAGACTGAATGTGATGAGATATGTAATAATCTCCCTGCAGAATCATCAATAGTTATCAATGAGGCTGGTGTCATGGCAAGCCTTTGTAAACTAAGGCCTAATAAGACCACTGGCCCAGATGGTTTAAAAGCATGCCTTCTTAAAGAGTGTGCTCCTCAACTAAAAGGAGTCTTTGCAAGGTTGTTCCAATTACTTCTGGACACAGGTAAAGTGCCAAAATTATGGAAGTACTCAATAATTAGGCCTGTGGCAAAAAAGCCAAGGGCGAGCATGCCAAATGACTTCTGGCCCATTGCAATAACTTCTATATTGTGTAAAACTATGAAACGAGTTTTAGCTAATCATCTAACTTCGACTGTCGCCTCTAGGTTAGATTCACTTCAGTTTGCATATAAGAGTAACAGAGGTACATGATGCTGTACTGACACTGCTTAATACAGTTACAAAACATCTCATGCATCCCAAAGCATATGTCAGGGTTTTATTCGTGGATTTTAGCTCGGCTTTTAATTCAATGAAGATTCATATTCTCTTAACAAGATGTTAATACAGGTTTAGTCCGCTGGATTAGAAATTGTCTTTCTTGTCGTACACAGAGGGTCTGTGTTCGAGGGACTGTGTCTGATATGCTAACTTTAAGTACAGGTTGCCCACAAGGCTGTGTCCTTTCCCCTGTGTTCTTCTCTCTTTTTACTAATAAGTTTACGATTAAAGAAGAACATTTTAGATTGTTCAAATACGCTGATGATATGGCCTTAGTGGGCCTATTGGACAAAACTAATTTGTTATATGACGCTGCCTCTGGCTCACATTAAGGCCCTGGAGAAGTGGTGTCATTTTAGCCAACTAGAAATTAACGTGGCAAAGACAAAATAATTGGTTATCTGCCCAAAAGCAGATATGTCAATCCAGCCAATTTCACTTGTGGGTCCACAAGTTGAAATTGTGAAGAAGTTTAGTTCAATTCTTGATTCACACATGAATTTTGCTGACAATTCAGACTACCTTTTTAAAAAGTGTTCGCAACGTTTATTTCTTCTTGGACAACTTAGTGGCCTTGGAGTTAGTCAGCATATTTTAGAACTTGTGTACAAATCCATGGTGGAGAGTGTAATAACTTTTCATCTCACAGCCTGGTATGATCATTTAAATTGCAGATCTAAGAACAAACTTGCCAGAATTGTGACAATTGCAAGCAGAATAGTTGGCAGACAACAGAGGCTACTAGTACAGCTCTATGCTGAAAGGGCGAAGAAGGCAAGGACTATTCTTGCAGATAGTTCTCATCCTCTCTTCAGTCAATTTGAGCCCATGAAATCGGGAAGACGCTACAGAACCCCTCTAACAAAATAAAAATGTGTTTAAGAGGTCTTTTATTCCAAATGCTGTTAAAATTCTCAACTCGGCAAGTAAATGATAATCCAAATGACTATAGTATGAAATGTGATTATTATGTATTTATTTTTTATGAATTGTGATCTGTCTGTTTTATGTCTTTGTCTTCTATTATGGTCTGTATATTTATTTTAATGGCTGGTGAGCCAAAGACAATTTTCCACCTTGGTGGACAATAAAGATATTACAATTAAAAAGCTCACAGGAGAAAAAAAAATCATATATTGTCTGCAACATAATCATTTATTAATATTTGATTTTCCTCTCTTGTTTTTTCACCTGTTCATAATTTATTTGTATGACAGCTTGGCTAAAAATTATGTCAATTTGGAATGTTTCATTGTGTTATCACAAATAAACAATTGACTCCAGGCACAACTACACAATACGCTTACAAAATATTGAACACATTTTTAATACTATTTGAATAAAGGGTGAATCTGACAATTTTCCTTCAATACTAATTTGTGATAATTTTGCACAATGCAAAGCCATTTAAAAAAAAAATACATTTAAATATTAAAGTTTTTAGTGTCTTAATTAAATTATTTTATTATAATTACATTAAATAGTTGGTGTCATGCTGCTGTGACCTCACCCTTGCAGGCTCACTATTGGCTGATTCAGAGGGTGAGGGCGGCCATTTTGGGTTCACATCATTGTAGTCCTTAGTTTGCAGCACTTAAGTCCCACTTCAGTCAGCACTTAAAAATCAGTCTTATACTTTACTGAAAGTTGCTTTTAGCTGCTTTATAAATGTCTCCTACTCTTAGAAAAGTCCTACTCTTTACTAAGTATTTTTTTACACTTAAGTCAAAGCTTAAGACTATTCTTAAGATCATTTCTTAGAAGTTTTATACATACGGGCCCAGGGCCCGTATGTATAAAGCCACTCAGAGTAAAATTTTAGTCTCAAGTCTGTCAAAATTCTAAGAATTACATAATTTTACTCTTATTCCTAAACTTAAGAATAAGTGTGATTCATAAAAGTTCCAAAGTGCTAAGACTTGGTCTCAGCTCCTAAATTATTTAAGAGAGCTGGAGAGGTCTCCTAACCTAGTTAGGAGTAACAAGATGGCAGCAGAGGTTAGGCCATGCACTTTTCAACGAAAATATGATGTATCGTAGTTAAATGAGTTGATCAAACAATAAAAAAAAAAAGTTTAATCATCAAGGTATTCTTTTTGTAACTTACCTTTAAAAAGTTTCATAGCAATGAAATTAAAGTAATAATTATATTTTTGGCGACTGGAGAAATGCAGCAGTGCACCTGTGATGATATATTTATTTTAATGGCTGGTGAGCCAAAGACAATTTTTGTAAAGATATTACAATTAAAAAGCTCAGAGGAGAAAAAAAAATCATATATTGTCTGCAACATAATCATTTATTAATATTTGATTTTCCTCTCTTGTTTTTTCACCTGTTCATAATTTATTTGTATGACAGCTTAGCTAAAAATTACGTCAATTTGGAATGTTTCATTGTGTTATCACAAATAAACAATTGACTCCAGGCACAACTACACAATACGCTTACAAAATATTGAACACATTTTTAATACTATTTGAATAAAGGGTGAATCTGACAATTTTCCTTCAATACTAAGTTGTGATCATTTTGCACAATGCAAAGCCATTTTAAAAAATACATTTCAATATTAAAGTTTCAGTGTCTTAATTAAATTATTTTATTATAATTACATTAAATAATTGGTGTCATGCTGCTGTGACCTCACCCTTGCAGGCTCACTATTGGCTGATTCAGAGGTTGAGGGCGGCCATTTTGGGTTCACATCATTGTAGTCCTTAGTTTGCAGCACTTAAGTCCCACTTCAGTCAGCACTTAAGAATCAGTCTTATACTTTACTGAAAGTTGCTTTTAGCTGCTTTATAAAAGTCTCCTACTCTTAGAAAAGTCCTACTCTTCTTTACTAAGTATTTTTTTACACTTAAGTCAAAGCTTAAGACTATTCTTAAGATCATTTCTTAGAAGTTTTATACATACGGGCCCAGTTGCATAAGTAGGTAATCAACTAGCAAATAGCTTGCTGGCACAAAATAAATAATAATAGATAATAAATTATGTTTTATTAACAAGGTTCGGGAGGAGCAGGTGCAGATAATTAACCCAATTAGCACAAGTGGAGTTCAATCTGTAATCAATTCAGAATAGGATAAATAACAGCAAAACCCACCTTTGTTCCTTGACAGTTTATCAGCATCCTACTTCCACCCCATCTCCTCACTTTAGTTCCATCTCCTCACTTCTAGTTCCATCTACTCTTACCAATACCAACAGGGGAGTACTCTGGGTTTGGGCAGAAATTCCGAGCTCGGAGCCCTCCACCCGGACAGCACGCCAAGTACGCATAACCTAATAATTATATGTAGATGTGAACTCATGAAGCTGTATTTGTTTAGCACCTTTTTATACAAAGCTCAAAATAACACTAAACAATAAACACCAAATACTTCACATATTAAAGTATTTTAATATCACCACAATAATAAAATAAAATACAATAATAAAATGCATAACAAAATGAACATTAAATAAAAAAAAAAAAACATTTTCTTTTTAAAAGCTAAAAAATAAATAAATAACGTTAGCTACATTCAGTATTGAAGCACACATGCAGAGTAAATGGCGCTCCCATTGCTATTACCGTATAAACACATTAAAACTCATTAAGGCGTCGATCTGAAAACGTCACCATTTGCGTCAGGGTGAACAGTGTCAAATATTGAGTCTTTCTCCAAGTCCATTGTTTCCCTCCCCTATACACCACCCTCCACCCCTCTATGTCCCAATGTTTTCGTCGTCACATCCCTCGGTCCATGAGGAATGTCGGGTCTGTATGGTTTAAAATAGCCCCGTATCATCTTCAGCCTGACACGCTGCTCCAGCGAGGCTCATAGTGGTGCGAGCAGCAGGAATGTGAAGATGGCTACAGATCTGGGAGAGCTACTGGTCCCGTACATGCCCACCATTAGAGTACCGAGGACAGGAGACAGGGTTTTCAAGAGTGAATGCGCTTTTTCCTACGACTCTCCTGTGAGTATCAGGTCAAATACTTAATGCATGAACGTTAAACAACAACTGGCGTCCCACAGACACGTGGAAACTAAAAGCTGCGTATAGCGCGTAAGAGAGATTTGGGATCCTCGGCGACCATTCTCCTGCTCAACTTATGTGACAGCCTGCAGAAATAAACAACACACGGGTGTTTACATCTTACAGCGTGGCCAAGCTTCCCCTCTCGCAGTTGGCGTTATACGAGATTCAGATGTATAATGATAGCAAACACTGCAAGTCTGAACGCTGGTTTGTACTAGAGAGAATTTCTGTTCACTGTTTTTAAAGGCGTGTCAAAGAAATAATTGTTTCCATTTCTCAAGTTCTTATGCATTCGGCATCTCCCCATCCTCGTTGGACATCTAGTAGTGTGTTACTTTTTGATGCCAGACTGTTTATTGTGATATCTCCTTGATATCAAGATACAAACAACTGTTATGTAGCATGAAATATGTGAAAATTGGGATTTCCTAAATCTATACTAATAAGCAGTAAGCCGCCATGACCTATAAAAATAATAATTTAGGTCAACTTTGATTGTTATGTCTCTACAAGCTCTGTCCACAAATCATGTATACTACTATATGTTTTTGCGATCAGTTATGGGAACTTTTATATAAACGTGGATAAAGTGCACAACTAGCTCCCAGCTGTAAAAGTTTTAAAGGGTGACTCAGCTGTTTGGAGTTCATCATGTCAGACTAAAAGACAGGTTATTTTTACACACTATCTGTTCAAGCTCGTGTGTCACCAGGAGCTAGTGACAGGTTTTTCAGTCTGGTGGGCCCTCGATCAACACCCTAACCGACACACACCAGCCCAGTAACAGTGTTTTGATTCAGATTAAACTCAGAAGTGTCTTGTTTGTTTATTCTTTATCGCTAAAAGTCTTTAAAAAAATAATTCAGATTTTTTACATTTAGAAGAAACAAAACACTTCTGAAAATAACTTCAATAAATAACATAAACAAGCATTATGTAATTATATAATTATGTGAATCTTAAGTTAACCATAGGTACCACCAAAAGTGGCTGTATATAGGCTATCATGAAACATGGCCAAAATGTTAAATGTCAAAATGCCTAAAGAACATTTTATTACCATATCCAACAACAAATAAGAAGCACTATAATACTTATTGGAGCTTTGTTATAGTGTTGAAATTTAAATCTTTAGGTAAAAGGTGGCACTATTGTGAGCATTCAGCAATTAAATGTTTACTTATAATTTTACTTTTATGTCCATATGTTGTATTTCTAATAATAGGCTACATCCCAGATATTTGGCATGAATATTTAGTGAAGCCCTAGATTGTAAGTAGGATGCAGTTATTTTAGATTATGCCCTGCTATGTTGAAGTGTGTCCACTTTTCATGTATATGTTCCTACGTTGATGATGCTTATGTCTTTGAACGGTTTGCCTTAATCTCTAAAAGCAGTTTTATTCACAGTTGTCTGGTAAATCTAAGTAGAAATATGGAGTTGTACATTATACACTTTATCTTAGCTTAAAACTATCTTTATCATTTCTTTTAGGAATCGGAAGGAGGTCTATATGTGTGTTTGAACACATTCCTGGGATTTGGAAGAGAACACGTGGAGAGACATTACCGTAAAACTGGACAGAGTGTGTACATGCACTTAAAACGGCATGTGAAACAGGTAAGAGCAGCGACAGCTTTTTTTTCAAGCTTATTGTTGGATTGAATTCTTTGCAAATTTGTAAAAGTGTTGTTTTATATTTCACTCTACACTCCAAAGGAACCTGTTTGTTTTGCTAAGGCTTTTAGTAGTTTATAAAAGCTACTTAAATGCCTTAATATTGAACTAAGGCCTAATCCTGGTTTAGTCTAAGCTGTGTCTGTGAAACCGGGCCTTAAAGTAGGAGTAAAATGAGGAATCTCATACCTTCCTAGTACAGGTATATCGTGCAAAACTAGTACGAGGTAGGGGGAACACACATTCACTCATCTGAACATATTACATTTATATTTCATAGTCCCTTTGTCCTTTGTTACTGCTCTCGTAAAAAATACAATTACTTGTATTTTAAACTTACATTTAATGTCTAAAAATAAATATTTTCGAATTTCCCGTAGCAGCTCACTCTGCAACCCCTGCTGTTTACCAGATGGGTTTTGTCCATACAAATGCGTTATTCACTGTTATAAACTGACGTGACTTGCGGGTGTTTTCCAGCCACAGTGCACAGATGCAATTAATCTATAATCCAATTGGTTGTTTTTTAAGTCATATCTTTTGATTTTTTCCTCTTATGTTATGTGAACATCCTCTAGTTTTAAGATCTGCCATATACCACACTACTTTCAAAAGGTGGAAATTTTCAATTTAGCAGAGATTGATGACTGTTGGATTTAGAAAGCAGCTTAGAGTTTTGAGATGATTACCCAACAGGTCTTGAGAGCAGAGAATGTAAAGGTTTAAGGTGTGATGTTTCTCTTCTTAGAGAGTTTTAGGAATCTGCTATACTGTACATTACTTTAATTCATCAACATCATTTTTGTAAGTTAGGGTTAGGTACGAGAGTGGAAGATTCAACTTGTTTTTTTAAGTCAGTTAATATAATCTAAGTTGAAAGGACATAAACTTACAAATTTAAGGAAGCAAACTTGAAATGGTTTTCTATTGAAATAGGTGGATTTTAATTAATTAATTTTTATTTATTTACTTTTTTAGTGTATTCATAAATTAAATGGTTTTGACATATTGGTTTATAATTAATGAGCATACTACTAGCCCAGCATGCCTACTGTACTCTTGGGAAATGTCAGGAAGAAAAAGAAACATTAAAGGAATATCTGGGTATTTACAATAACAATTACAGTATATTTACAGCATGATAGATAAATTAACAACATGTTACATAAACAGAAGATAAATTAACTGTGCTGCATTATTTATAACACCATGTATATACATATATATATATATATATATATATATACTAAATATGTACTAATTGATGGAATGATAGATTTTAAATAATCAGATACTTAGGTATTGTCTCATGTTTTGAATGTTACCATGGCAGTCTTTCCATATCTTGGCAGTTCTGGTGATTCCCAGCCTGCTCCTATACGTTGACCTAATGATGAATGATCTGTTGGTCATTTAGAATAGGATCTTTGTTATTTAATGTTTTTTTTTTGTTAGTTCTAATTGAATTTGGATGTTCTGGTTAAATGCTGCTATTTTCATGTCTGCATCTGTCCAGAAACTGCTGGCCCCTTTTCTTGTCGCTCTTGTGTTTGCTGTTTTTACTTGGGATTACATGAGAATTTATTTCAACATTAACCATTCAGTAGTCCACTTTACTCCACAATCAATTGATTTTTACCATTGTGTGCTTTGTACAAAACGATCATTTCCATCTGTAAAGCTTTTTATCCAGATTTGATCAAATTTGCAACATGATTCTGTAAGATTTGTTGTTCTATATAGACAGTTTTGCAAATTTAATGTTACACTTAACTTCATTACCCATGTTGTTTCTTGATGTTAATTACAGAAAGCCACAGGTGCTGCAGGGGGTGCCATACCAAGAAGAAGGAATGGAAAAGTATTTTTAGGTAAGTCTGTTTTGAAGTTAAAAAAAAAAAGTCCCAGACATAAACTTATATCTCAAATGAGAGAGCCTGAATAGGCCTTATATTTTTATGTTTAGCAACTCCAGTCATTACTGGCTGGGGCTAAATTTATCTTATTTATTTGTATGCGCAGTTAGTAACCATTCTAAATCTAAAGTGCCACATGCTTGCCCTGGCCTAATCTTCTGCTATGGAGGGTTGGTTTTCAGTGGCCGGCTATGCCTGTCAGCTGCTGTGCCCTATCAATCCCCCAGGCTGACACACTTCTGCCATTGGAGGTGTGACGTAGCAGGTGGGGGGTCTGCGGCCTCTTATTCTCATGCATCGCGTCAATATAAACGCCTGTTTGAGGACGATATGTCAGAAAGGATGCCAGTCATTTTGTAAACCCACAATGCTTTGCCAAACATGTCATTTAGGCCACTCTGATTGTTCTATTAAGGATAATGTCTGGCCTGCCACCAGTGGCTTGGAGCGCAAACTGATGCGATCAGGTGTTTTCTTTAGTCTGTCAGATCTCGTAGCCATGTCTAATGCAGACACAACTATAAGTGTGGCATTCATACTCAAACTAATTGAATAACTTTATTATTCTTTTTTTAATGACCAAACTTTCAGTTTGTATGACCTCATTTATAATTGAGAGAATAGAAAGAAAATTTGTTCTCCCGTTACAGGGCTATTTAAAGGGGTCCTATTATGCTTTTCAACTTAGCTATTGTGTAATGTTGCTGTTTGAGCATCAAAAAAAAGATCTGCAAGGTTACAAAGCTCAAAGTCCCAAGATATTTTATTTAACAGAATCCACTTCTCAAGAACTACAACGAACTGCTCGTTTGGACTACAACTAATTTTTTCCAGATCTTATTAGGTACAATGCTACTCATTTAAATAATCCCGCCCACGGAATATACGAAGAAGGTGGCAGAGTCCTGGTTGAGCTGCACTATTGAAGATGAAGAGTGTTGCTATGTCGAAGAGACGTTTTTTTCCCACCCCGGTTCCAAAACCCCTTTGTTTGGCCTTCTTAAGGCGGACAAACTAAGTGCGATGCACATTTTATGGAAAACAGCTTGTTTTCTGTTGCTTTTGTAAGCTCTCTCTTTTGTAAGATGGTTCACCGTTCCTTATGAAAAATTAATCATAGTTTTGTAACCGATAACTGTGTGTATTAGATGAAGAGAATAACAAAAAAACATACCACTCTGAAACATCCTGTGGAATCCATGCTTGCAAAGTCCATGCATGAAATTCGTTCTGCACGATCCTCTTGTTCGTTAACGTTGTCAGGGTCTGAATCGGGCTCGAAATGGTTTGAAATTGACGCCATCCTCAATATTTACACTAGAGAAGAACTTGCAGTTATGGAGGGGCGGGACATTTCCCGATCACGCGCTAAGCACTGCCAATCACAGCACATTTCGTATTTTGCAAGGAGGGGCTTTATCGAAACAAGACCTAGACGGCGCTTTGAGAGAGGAGCTGTAATAATAATCAAAAATCTGTGAAAAATAATGCGTTTTTTGAACAATCAAGCTTGAAAACATATTCTAGTACACCCCAAAAACAAAATCAAGACTTTGTAAAATGGCATAATTGGACCCCTTTAGCAAACTACAAAAATCTATTTTAAAAGATTGTTAAAAACCTGAAAAAAACATAATGAGAGTTGTAGCCTCTAAAATATAGACTATCTAAATTCATATACATTTTAAACTCAAATCTTAATGTTAGGGGTTCAATCAAGGGAACTAAATAAAATGTTTAATCAAAAGACTGAAACACTCTTTTTTTTTTTAAGAAAAGGACAAGATAAACATAAAAAAGTCATTTTGAGCGTATACATTGTGTGAAGTTTCATCATGTGTTTATTAATTAATTTTTTTGGGACAGTGTTTTGGGAAAGTGCAGTCATCCCATCAGCTCTCGATTAAAAATAACTCTTTCTGCTTCTTTTCCTGAAGATTTAGAGCTTAACCGTGATTTTAATGGAGATGATTATGAGTACGAAGATGAAGCCAAGCTTGTCATATTTCCAGACCACTTTGAGATCCCTTTACCAAATATTGAGGAATTGCCCGCACTGGTTAGTGAGTGTGTGCTCATGCGCCCTGTATGCCCTGCATGCCAAAGGCCTGATCTGCAGTTTCAGTTTCAGTGCTTGCTTGTCAAACATCACATCATTACATTTTATTATGTCTACAGATGACCTTATACTTATTCTCACTGTTCATCCTTCTCATTGTGTGCAGTGATGTCATGTGTTGTTGCAGTAATATGAGTTTTAGTTATCCACTCTCACCTATTACGGATTATTTTGTTATACACTAAAATCTGTTTAATTTTAAAATAAGTTTATTTCTGATTAGATCCGAATTCTTTGTGGTTTAAAGCAGAATCATCAGCCATTCATGCCTGAATATACAGCATGTGTTTGGTTTTTATTGATATTTTTGAAATTATTAAGAGCAATATGGGTTTTTCTGGGGTATACACCGTTCAAAAGTTTGGGGTCAGTATGATTTGTATTTTTCTTTAAAGAATACTTTTATTCTGTAAAGATTAAATGTTTTCAGATAAATGTTTTTTATTCATTAAAGAATCACAGTTTCTACAAAAATATAAAGCAGAACAACTGTTTTTAACATTATTAATATAATAAGAAATGTTTCTTGAGCACCAAATTAGCATATTAGAATGAAGGAACACAGAACATTCAGTTTTGCCATGCAGGAATAAATTACATGCTAAAATATATTAAAATAGAAAACAGTTCTCAATGTTCAGTATTAAATCACAGTTTTATTGTATTTTTATTTTTATTTTATTTTTTTGTTTATTTCAAAAACATTAAAACATCTTGCCAAGCCCAAATTTGACCAATCTCAAATATTTTAGGATTTACTGGTTGATGTAATAGTCTATCAGTACACATGATGCAAGAAGGTTCATGGTGTTATGTTGTACTACTTTAGTTGTTCATACAATACATGAAGTAGCACACAAGTGAAAACACATCTTTGTACTTGTAGACACTTGTAATTGCATGGTGTGCATACTTACTGCTGCTTCCCTTATATTTATTACCTAGAAAATAGTTGTGTTATTTGGCCTATCTGACCAGGATTCAGATTGGCTTTTAAATATTTTTAAATCTATTTAGTCATAGTCTGCACCACTTTCCAGCTGGCTGTGGTTTCTTAAGCAGTCATTAAATAGCTATAATATAATGTTCACATGCCCCTTTAACTTTCAGGTGACAATAGCCTGTGACGCCATCCTCAATGCACAATCTCCATACAAAAAGCAGGAGTCAGATTCATGGGAAGAGGAGATCCAAGTATCTAAACATGCCCGAAGTCTCAGACAGCAGGAGAATGGAGTTCGAATTCCTCCCAGGTTGGTCACATGGAAGCCCAGAGTCATAAGGACTAGCACTCTAGAGTCTGCTGATGCTTACTTCAGGTCACGCTTGAATCTGATATGTCTGCTTTCCCCTGCCAATAATATCAAAACAAGCTATTGATGTTTATATGTTTAGGATAACTATTAGTAACAGTGTGTTCTGAAAAACCTAGTTGTTGTTTTATGTAGTAAGAAACTGTAAGCAAATTTCCATTAGGATACTTTAGGATTGGTCCCAATGGCAGAAATTCCAGTACTAATACTGTCACAAGTCCTGGGGAAGGGTTTTCCAGTGGCCGATACTGATGATGATATCTGGGTAGGAGGGTGTCTGATGGCTAATATAATGTGGTATTTGAAAGTAGTACAGTTTAATTATAGTAAATTAGCTAAATTGATTAAATTAACACTTGTTTACCATATTTGTCTAAACTTTAAAACAAACGTTTAAATGTGCATTTACCATTCCCAATGTTGCTTTTAGATTTTAGAACAGATGCAAAAGGAACCAGCGTTGTTTTAGTATTATTTATGTACTATTATAGTATTTATTAATATTTTGAAATAGCTTTTTTTTATATTAATTTATATTTTATATAAATATTTCAGTTCAAGTTTTAGTCATTTTGATATGTGCTTTTGTCATTTTTAAGTTTAAAAAAATTTATTTAGCTTGAATTTATTTTTATTTAGTAATTTTAGTACTTCATTATAAAAAGAAAATAATAAATGTTGGAAGTTATTATTTTTTTTAATCTTTCATCTAACATTTATATTTTATTATATTTCAGATGTATTTCTCTTGGCAATTTTTTTAAAAATAGTTTTAGTATTCGTATAAGTATTAGTTTTAATTTTAGTATTAGTTTTAGTTAACAATAACAACACTGAAGGGGAACTAACACTTTAACCATGCAGAAGATAATCTCAAAATGGCCAAATATCGCCAATTGATTGGTCTAGCCGATAAATTGATGTGTTGGAAATGGTCTCATAATCAGAAACTGTCTTGGTCTACACAAATAGATTACAAATACACTCACCGGCCACTTTATTAGGTACCCCATGCTAGTAACGGGTTGGACCCCCTTTTGCCTTCAGAACTGCCTCAATTCTTCGTGGCATAGATTCAACAAGGTGCTGGAAGCATTCCTCAGGGAGTTTGGTCCATATTGACATGATGGCATCACACAGTTGCCGCAGATTTGTCGGCTGCACATCCATGATGCGAATCTCCCGTTCCACCACATCCCAAAGATGCTCTATTGGGTTGAGATCTGGTGACTGTGGAGGCCATTTTAGTACAGTGAACTCATTGTCATGTTCAAGAAACCAATTTGAAATGATTAGAGCTTTGTGACATGGTGGAAGTAGCCATCAGAGGATGGGTACATGGTGGCCATAAAGGGATGGACATGGTCAGAAACAATGCTCAGGTAGGCCGTGGCATTTAAACGATGCCCAATTGGCACTAAGGGGCCTAAAGTGTGCCAGGAAAACATCCCCCACACCATTACACCACCACCACCAGCCTGCACAGTGGTAACAAGGCATGATGGTTCCATGTTCTCATTCTGTTTACGCCAAATTCTGACTCTAACATCTGAATGTCTCAACAGAAATCGAGACTCATCAGACCAGGCAACATTTTTCCAGTCTTCAACTGTTCAATTTTGGTGAGCTCTTGCAAATTGTAGCCTCTTTTTCCTATTTGTAGTGGAGATGAGTGGTACCCGGTGGAGTCTTCTGCTGTTGTAGCCCATCCGCCTCAAGGTTGTGCGTGTTGTGGCTTCACAAATGCTTTGCTGCATACCTCGGTTGTAACGAGTGGTTATTTCAGTCACTGCTGCCCTTCTATCAGCTCGAACCAGTCTGGCCATTCTCCTCTGACCTCTGGCATCAACAAGGCATTTCCGCCCACAGAACTGCCGCTCACTGGATGTTTTTTCTTTTTCGGACCATTCTCTGTAAACCCTAGAGATGGTTGTGCGTGAAAATCCCAGTAGATTAGCAGTTTCTGAAATACTCAGACCAGCCCTTCTGGCACCAACAATCATGCCACGTTCAAAGTCACTCAAATCAACTTTCTTCCCCATACTGATGCTCGGTTTGAACTGCAGGAGATTGTCTTGACCATGTCTACATGCCTAAATGCACTGAGTTGCCGCCATGTGATTGGCTGCTTAGAAATTAAGTGTTAACGAGCAGTTGGACAGGTGTACCTAATAAAGTGGCCGGTGAGTGTAGTCAGTGGATTATAGAGTAACATAGCCTCATCACTTTGAGTGCACATGAATCACCTGCACTGAAATATGAGGAGTTCCTCTCCTGTTTGTGTCTTCAATATGCTTTATGTCCTATTAGCGGCTGGAAGTGCGCCAAGTGTGAAATGAGAGAAAACCTGTGGCTAAACCTGACGGATGGCTCTGTCCTCTGTGGGAAATGGTTCTTTGATGGGAGCGGAGGGAATGGACATGCCCTTGATCACTACAAAGAAACCAACTTCCCCCTGGCAGTGAAACTCAACACAATCACCCCAGATGGAGCAGGCAAGTGTCTCTCCATGACAGGTTTTTCATGCGTCACAGTCTTCCAGGAAATATGCTGGCCTGCATGTATAACACACAAAAAATTGCAAGCTCAAACTCAATTTGGACAAAACAACAGATAACATCGGTTCCATTCTCTCTTTTGCAGATGTTTATTCCTTCGACGAAGAAGAAGCAGTGGTTGATCCTCACATATCAGAACATTTGTTACACTTTGGAATAGATATGCTGCAAATGCAAAGGGTATGTTTTTTTTTTTGGGTGGGGTTTTTCACACTTTATTCATACATTTCTCTATATTTGATCATGCAGTCAGTCATTCATTTATTATAAATATCTAATACTGATAATATTTTACATGGCATTAATGGGTCTTTATACATGAAAATATATAGCTTCCTTTATATTGTAGGAAGGGAATCGTCATATTTGTGGGTCTGTGGCATCAAATAGGTTGATAACCCCTGTTCTAAACAATAGTTAATTACTTAAGCAAAGACAAGCAACACTGCCTTCTTCCAACCTCCTCAAATGTCTGTCTATCCCTCTCAGACAGAGAATGGTCATCATACAGACAACCACGTGCAGCTGCGCGTGAGTGACTGGGAAGTGATTCAGGAGGCTGGTCTAAAGCTAAAGCCCGTCTATGGCTCAGGATATACGGGCATCAAAAACCTGGGCAACAGCTGCTACCTGAGCACCACTATGCAAGTGCTTTTCAGTATTCCAGAGTTCCAGAGAGCGTGAGTACTTTAAAGACCTCAGTGGTCCAATGCATTCTACATACTCGTCTACATTCTCCTCCCATTGTCATTGGCTCTGTTTGAATGCTATCACACTAAAACGTGTCATTTCTGAAGAAACTTGTATTTAGACTCTTAGGGCCAGATTTACTAAACGGCAAATTAGCGTGAGAGCACAATTCCAATAAAGCACCGATGAGAGGGGAAAGTTCTGTGCATGATCTACTGACGACGCGCAAATTAAAGAACACCGACGCAGCCGGATCATTTCCATAATGACCGACTCAATCTACCAAGAGCAGCGCAAATTAGCGTTTGGTTTAAGACATGCTTTACGAGTAAATACGAGTAAATTGACCAGCGCAAACCTTAGTAAATCACCTTGCATGATTCATTTAAATACTCTACTCCCATAAATTTTGCGCCTGAAAGGGAAACTCATACGAATGCATATTCAGTAAGGTCAGCCGCAAAAATAACCCTGTCCACTCCTTTTCAGCACTAATTTTTCTCTGGGTGTCTTTAGTAAATCCTGACGGTAGTTTTTTAACACCAAAAGAGGGTTTGCGCTGGTACAAGCTGTTAGTAAATCTGTTAGTAATCTGTGCCGTCTTAAAGTTTGTTTGCTGTTTTTTCTTTTATGTGATGATTTTGATTCAATGCCAGATTCATCTAGCCAGGTTCTTTACCCAGTTAATTTAATATGCAGGTGTAACAGTGAGAAATTATTTTGTATATTGTAGGTATGTTGGGAACCTACAGAGAATATTTGACTACTCGCCCCTTGATCCAAGCCAGGATTTCAACACACAGATGTAGGTGTTTTTGTCATTGAATGTTAGTATCATGTTACAGTTATCTTGTTTTTTATTTCTGAAATTCAAATTACATATAATTCTTGTATAATGTAATGCAATTTTATACATATCTTTACTGTTTGACATCTTTCCTGAAGTGTGTGTCATTTAGGTATTTAAATTGGAATGTTTGTTTTCTTATTTTTCAAGGGCAAAATTTGGTCATGGACTTCTCTCAGGCCAGTACTCAAAACCTCCAATGAAATCAGAACTAATTGAACAGGTGATGAAAGAAGAATACAAGGTATTTGACTTGGTCTGTCTTGATGATATTTGGCTCGATTAGGTTTGCATAACTGTGCCAGTTGCAGTCCTTTGCCTGCCTCCTTATCCAGCTACCTATTTGAGAATCAGGCAACCTTAAGGTACATTCATACTGACAATTATTTGCAGTGACCCGAGGTCATTCATTGGCAGTTTCAGGTGACAAAAAAAAAAAATCATACAACAAAGCTGAGCAGAGTTTAATTTTATGTAGAGAAACAATGCGGCATCTACCAATAATAGAGCAGACATTGTGAATGTACCTTGGGTATGCTTGTACAGCTTGTTTAATTGTTTGTTTGAGAGGAGCCACAATATCAGATATTAACTATTTTTATCCCAACAGTTATCAATATTCTTTAGCTAAATTATTGTTTTGGTTGCCCTCCTTTTTTGTTTGTTTTTGTCTTTATTCTAAATGACTAAATTGTAGTCATTTGGAAGTTCCACTGAATTTCTACCGAATTGTAAATGTGCTTTCATAATAATATACCTCGTTTCTCATTCAAAGAATAAAATAAACATGGACTGTATGAAACAAACATATACTATATGAAACAAACAAAAATGCTGCATGCTATTTCCCTAAAGTACAGCTTTGTTAGCTACAGCTTTGTGGCCTTTTTAAGAGTGTTTAAGAATGTCCCCCTATAAACCAGCTTTCTTAATAGGATTTCTGATGGCATTTTAAAGTGCATTTGGTGACCCTGAGTCTAGATGTGTCATGTTGTTTTCCTCTGTAGCAGCTGCAACGAGGGATTTCACCTAAGATGTTCAAAGCGCTGGTCAGTAAAGGACACCCAGAGTTTTCCTCAAACCGGCAACAAGACGCTCACGAATTCTTCCTGCATTTAATTAACCTGGTGGAGGTACGAAAGTGTTTTTCTATCTAATGTGCTTCTTTTGTGGAAACGTAATATTACCTTGATTATGATGACGTTGTGTCTTAAAAAGATAGTTCACCCAAAAATGAAAATTCTATATAATCACTCTCATGTCACTCTAAACCTATGACTTTCTTTAGCTCAAAGATGAATTACTGAATTACTTTAATTTTATGAACATTTTTTCTAGACTAATCATTTTGTGTTCCATACAAGAAAGCAAATCATATGGGTTTCAAATGACAGAAGAAAATAAATGTAAAAGTTTTTAGGTGAAATATATCTTTAAATCATTTATGTAAAAAAAATATTTGAGAGAAACAAGGGTTTCTAGGGATTGGCCAAAATTTCCCCAGACGTGTTTGTAGACGTTGAGTCTTGTCAGGAGGTTCTGGTTTCAGGAGACACATTGAACTGTACTCTCTACCCCTCTCCTGGCAGACACACACTTGAAGTGACTTTC